GAGTTTTAATGTATACACAATTACAGTCAACGTGGCCAGGCGAAATTCAATGACAGCGAAATTCAATGATCTAAAGTGAGTAAAGATCCCATTATAGCCGCTTAATCAAGCCCAGAGTTGGTAGAATAGGTGATTCCTCATTCTCTTCTGAAATGGTTCAGATTTCCTTTTAAATCGGAAGCAACTCGAAATCTTGCAGCCTATTCGAGGAGGCTGCAACAAGTTCTCCGTAAGAGTGTTTTCCAAGATGGCATAATGCTTTTGCGTCGACTCTTTTCTCACGGACCTCGGAGGTTCGTCATTTACACAACGGTTGACTTGTTGAATTTACTTTCCTTTCGGTGCAAAGGTACGTCTGATGAAGAGATTCGAAGAGGCTCCTCAGAAGACTCCTTTTGTCCAACTTTCGGTTGGCTTTACTGGAAAATTCGTGTTTATGCAATCATCTTCTATTCCAGAGAAGATGTGCTGTATTTTCATGCTGTATATATACTCTAAATAGGTGCATTTTGATGATATATAAAGTGATTTGGTGTGTTCAAACCCTATGTGAATCTAGAAGAATGTGCGTATGTCTTTTTGCGTGTATCTATGTGCCTCCTTGTGTATGTGTATTAGCATATAGAAAGATCTGTGTGTTTTTTACTCTTTTGCATGAATGGGGTTTCACGAATGATACTACGTCTTGATGGGGTCCGTGATAGGATGGACAAGAAGAATTCGTCGGCGGTTACCTTCTGGTGGAATCCAACTCCGAATTACTTCATCTCATGTACACAACGTCACTTGAAACAGACGTGAGCTTGACCATTCTAAACCGAGATTTTCTTCAAAACGCAACTTTTATTCGCGTTGTTAGAGGAGACCTTTTCTCGTAAAGAAACCTGAAATGCTCCATTTAAGCACAACACGTAGGTCGGTTTGTTCCAAAGCAGGCATTAAGCCTGAAACCAGACACAAAATGGAGCGCCAGGCAGCAGATAAAATGAGTCAAGCACATTTCTTATTTTGGTGATTAGCAGTTGCGGCTTACGGGTATTTGTCGCCTCTTCGTCGGGTCGCGCTTGAAGGTCTGACAACTGACCAGTTGTCTGCTCGAACAAGATAGGAGCGTTTTCCCGGACCTCGGGATGGCCTTCGGAATCAAAGTGAGGCCATAGTGGAAAAAGCACATTTCCGCTGTCAAGACGAATCTGAAAAGATACAAAGTAAAGCGCAGACCACCATTACTTTGAAGCCTTTATTAAACATTTTGCTATAAATAATGAAAAAATACATCTGAGAAATGTAGCGAAAGCTATAGTACATGAATATGTGAGCTATATAGGCGCTATATGCTTGAGTGTTTAAGAGAAATTTTGCGATGACTTTCATTTCGTGTGAAAGTGCCTGGTGCATGGTACCGTTATTTTTAGGTCGAGTTCTCCAATTCAACCAGACCTACCTTCAAAATTGCGCAACTTCGGTCACGTTTTAGCTTGGCTCATAAAATCCTGAAGATCCTGGAATCACTCGTCATTACATAAACACGGCCAGACTCAACCCCACGCACTCAACCATAAGCACACACAAACATGCATGAAAGTACTTATGCTTACATTATTATATATATATATATATATATATTATATATCCAAGCAAATATAAAATTATGATTATTTCTGTGTTGATAGTTGAATTTTTACACAATGCCTCCTAATCAGCACCCCAGCGGGATTTGATACCAGATCGTGGATAGCATGACGACTTCCCCACTCAAGTACATAATGTCGTTGGCGCCATTTGAGCAAAGGTAGAATTCAAGGCGAGCCAGACCTCAGCAAAAATGACACTTTTAGTGGGATTGTAGATTTAAAAACAGGCATATGCCATTTCAACCGACTGCGCTACTTATATTCACTATAAGTAGTTTTCCAGACAATCAGTAATCTTACTCCGCCTAGGTTGGCAAACTCAACTATCAGTCTTTAAATCACCTTAGGCGATCTAGGCCACGTTCTAAGTCAACAAGCACTCATAGCGTTGAAATCTCTAACATGTAAACTAAGTAGCATAGTCGAGTACAATGGGTCAGTCAACTATCCTA